AAAAAAAAAAAAAAAAAGTTGTAATGAAATTTGAAAACTGAACCCATAACAGAAAGGCACAAGGTAAACGTACATATATTATATATATTTATATGACATAATGAAGAGAACACCTTATTAGTACAAGATAAAATTACTTATATAAAACTACAAATTCTACTGCTCACCACAAAAATTACATAATAATTTTGTATTGTCATAGGTAAGCCTAGTATAAATTACACTAATTTTTGTTGTTTTCAACGAATTAAAATGAGCCGGTGGAGATTAATATACGCATGTCTGACATACAAATATACTGTTTGGTTGTGTTAACACCGCCAACCCCCCCCCTTATGGAAGCTTCATTGCGAATCAACTAAGAGTAACTTTCAGCAGTGCTACTACTAGTACGAATGTAAAGCTAGACTGCGTGTGGAGAAGTATACGTTGAGTATTTTTACTTTCAATAAAAAAAAGGTTTGCTCTATTAGATTTATGTCATACTATTATACATAACAAATAACAATTCTTTAAAGACAGCGATGAATTTGTGAAGATAAATACTTTTTATTTCAATAAAATTCTCCGCCTACCTCTCTACGATAAAACACAACAGGCCTAACCATTGCTGTTCTACACGGAAAGCAGCCATCTTCAAATATCATAGTTGTTATTTTGCCCACTAGATGGCAAGACTATCACAATTGTCAAATATAACCGATAATCGTTACTTCCTTGTTATGAAGTCTTTTTAGAAAATGATATTTTTTGTATAATTGTTCTCACAGGTTACTCACTTTTTTAAAACATTTTTCAAGTTACTGAATTAAATTACTCAATTACTGATTACAACTTCACCTATCTTGATGATAAGAAACACATGAAGCTAGGAAATTATAAGACAGCGATTAACCATTTTCATGTCTAATCGGTATAGAACTGACCTAGACTTCATTGTTACGGCGAGCCTGTATTACTATATTTTTAAGAACCACTTTAATATAAAAGACATCTAGTGAGTTCACATGACATATGCTCAGTGGCATGCGAAAAATTGTGACAATTTCTGTCAGTCAATTTGTTTGTTTTGAATTTCGGGCAGTTAAAGACGACAGAAAGCTAGTCAACGAATAGTGGGATTGACCGTAACACTATAATGACCCCACGGCTGAAAGGGCGAGCATATTTGGTGGGATGGGGATTCGAACCCGTGACCCTCAGATTGCGAGTCGAGCGCCCTAACCACCTGGCCATGCCGAGCCCCTTTGACAGTAAATTCTGTGAGAGTACATTTCATGGAGTCTTTTTTTATAATATTTAAATTAAAAATAATTACATAAATAAATAAAAAATGCATGAAAAACAAAAGTATATCTGATGATAGGCGCAATTAACAAAAAAGAATTATAATTCTAAATAAACAGATAAAGTTCTCATTGTGACAATTACATCGTTAAAGATTACTGGTACTTATTGGGATAGGCTTAAATGTGAATAGTTTAGTTATTTACAATTAAACCATTCCTTCAGTGTTTGACTGTGTTTACTAAATTTAAAAATTCATTTTCTGATTTATTACATATTCATGAAGTCCAAGTGTTATATGAATGTTAAATAAAATTGTTATTTGACTACTTTTAGACTTCGTTGTTTTAACATACATCATTATAGTTTGTCCTGTTTTAACAATACACTTTTAGAGGCTGTTCTGTTTTAATAATAAACCTTTAGAGATTGTTCGGTTTTAACAATGTATCTTTACAGTTTGTCCTCTTACAAAAATATACCTGTAGAGTTTGTCCTGTTCTAACAATTAACCTTTAGAGATTGTTCGGTTTTAACAATGTATCTTTACAGTTTGTCCTTTTACAAAAATATACCTGTAGAGTTTGTCCTGTTCTAACAATTAACCTTTAGCGATTGATCTTTTTAAACATTATACCTTTAGAACTTATTCTGTTAATGTTTCTTTCCAGTGGCTCAGTGGTATATTTTCAGGCTTACGACGCTAAAAAATCGGGCTTCGATACCCGTGGTGGGCAGAGCACAGATAGTCCATTGTGTAGCTTTGTGTTAAACAACAACCTACCGAAAATTGAACCTGTTGAAATGCTCGCCAGTTTTTTTAAGAAAGCAGTCTGCGCAGAAACGTGTCGACCAAAATGTCTAATATTTCACGCATAAATGTGATAAAAGTGGAAACTTTGCAAAAGATCACATAAATTGAAAGTAAGAAAGAGAAAATGTGATAAGAACTAATTACACTCTGGGCCTTTTTTTAACTCTAGGAGAGCTTTTATGTGGTGAAGTGACCATGAGAAGTTAACCTCGAATGTGTACGGAAAACAGTGAAAAGTAATGTTGGACCTGTGAAGGTGTGGTGACGTTTTTCCGCTGAAGGGGTGGAAGATGTTGTCATATTGTCGGTATTACGAAGAAGTGGCAGTAAAACAACCTCCTGCGTGAATAATAAAGACGTGGCGATACAACAGTATCGTATCGTGAAGCCGTAATACGATACATCGTCCGATACGATTTATGTATCCTCACGACATTTGGCAAGCTTTCAGTAAACATTATAAGTCTTTTGTACAGAAAAAAAAATCAGAATTTCTAATAAAGTATTTTTGCTAAAATATAATGTTTAAATAAAGGTAGATGACTATTGAGTACTACATGTTGTCTTCAATTCTTTTATCAAAAACATTACATGCAAAGTAACATAAGTAATTAACAATAACAAAATAGATAGACAGATATTAACTTTATTTTACTTCTCTTACCAGCTGCCATCTAGTTGAACAAATCTGATGATTTGAAAAATCACTGTAAAGTGTGAAGTACTTAAATAAGACAATATTAGTAATATAGATAATAAATTACAGACAAACTTTGTAACAAACCGTTGGTAAAACTTCCGTATCTGGATACGTATCGTATCGACTACTATGATGAGATACGCGCCCCCTAGTGGCTTGTCCAACACTACCCAGTGAACAACGTTTGGTTTTGGCCTCGTCTTTCAGGACGAAGACGATAACACCATCAAATACACTGCCCTGCAGTGTTTTGAGGAAAAGGGAAGAGATGGTTATGAAATGTCCAGCCCAGAAGTTGCGATACCATTTAAAAGGTTACGTTTGTTTGGTTGGTTATTTGGCATTTATTTGGAGCAAAGAAACTAGGCTGTCTACGCCTGGTTATGTTTGGAAAGAAGCCAACTAATGAGAAATTGTATGCAGCAAAAATGACAGAAAATGTCAAGACTCAATAAAAAAAAATCTGGGAGCATCCATGCTTGGTCAATATAATAATATCACTAGAGAACTGTTGTCGTATTTTTAGGGCAAAGCTTACAATGCTTTGTCTACGACGGGGAATCGAACCCCGAATTTTATTGTTGTTACCGCTTATCCACTGGAGAATAGGCTAGAGCAGAGTTTCCCAAACTTTTTTGGCCACGGAACACTTTTTAGCTGAGAAAAAACTTACGGAACACTAGACACGTGAAATAATGGTGTAGAGGGTATGTTGCGCGCAGCGCCCTCTAAATTTGTATATTATTAATTTATTTATTTAATCAAATTACATATTAATGAATTTTTACATTTTGATGCCTATAATATATTTTAGGTACAAACCTCTCCACTAATATATTATGTAGAATAGATATGACATCTTCTATAATTCTTCTTCAATGTGAAATCGATATTATCTAATTCTAATAGATAGGAAAATGTTTCATAATAAGTTATGATCGTATAACAAGTGTTAAATATTTTATTAACATTTAAAATCATGATTTTCTCACGAAGCACCTACCAATCTCGGACGGAACATAGTTTGGGAAACGCTGGGCTGGAGGAAAGCTTATCAAAAATTGAATTGTAATTTTCCAAAAATGAGCTTCTTATGCCAGGTACACGTACGTGTATTGTACTACTGAGTATAAATTAGACACGAGTACACGTGCATTGTGATACTGTGTATAGATTAAAACATAAAAACCACACTAACATTTGTCTCTTGTAATCCTTCACGAAAACTTGAAAACAGGAACTTGAAATCAGACGCCGAAAGTTCAAACACATTTTGAACAATTGACCACAGGGAGGGTAAACAACAAATAGCATCCGCCGCCACTACGGCTTTGCCCAGGTATAATGCGAAATGACTGATCCGCAGCCCGACACGCTAACCACTAGGTTACACCCGGCATTAGTCTGTCCTCATGATTGTCTGGAATAAATTTTCTTCTTTCGCTAATGTTGGGAGAATATTGGGATATATGTACCTTCACCATCTACTTTAAACCAAAAGACATCTCTACGTAAAACCTATAAAAACCCAGTTAAGCATGAAAATCAGAATAAAATTTTTCCACCCTAAAACTTACCTTTATATATACATATATATATCAGATCCGTCAAAATGTTGTTTTAAATACATATTTTTATTTTATTTTCAGCGGGTGTCGTTTACAGCAATGACAAACCATTGAATGAAGTAGTCAGAAAAAGAAAAAGTTTTTTGTAAACTTTTTGAGAAATAAAATTTTGAAAAATTCTATAAAACGTAAAATAAAATAAAAATGTTTCTATCAGAAGGCAAGTCTTAAAACGCATCGTTCGTTAAACGCTAGCAAAAAATTGCCCCTAGGTAGTGATTTGTGGGAGATAAAAGATAAATCTGAAATGTTATTTTCGCACACACCTCTGATTTGAAATTCAAAATGCATAAACTAAGTGTAATTGTAAGAAAAAAAAATCAATTTACGTGATTTTGATCACAAACATTAGGCCTATCGACTTCTAATGATTTGTCAGCTTTTATAATTTAAGCCAAACCTTTCAAAATATTTAAAATGTACTAGAATAAATTTACATGATAAAAAAAAGATCCATTAGCAGGACTTGGTCGACTACACGAATTTCTTATACGAAACATGAAATTTTTACTAACTACTGTTAATTGAAACACTAACCCGTGGGCATTAAATCATTACTAACGGGATGACATCTTGATTAAAACCTTTACAAATCTGATAACAGAAATGTTCATTTGCTAATATAAATTGGATATTGGTACCGTAAGAAAACCATTTCTATTCGAATATATTTTGTTTGACAATATGATCTACAAACCAAAAAAAAAAAAAACTTTGTAAGATTAGGTTTTAAACGTTTTATTTACGTAACTTTTTGGTTTAAATTAGATAGTCAAAATTAACATCAAGATTTGTTTCAAAAATCAGGAAAAAATAATAAAATATACTTTACACAACATTTAAAACTGTTGAGGAACTTACGATAATTAATAATATAGAAAAAATCTCTACTTCAGTTTTATAAACAAATAAAATAATTGAAAATAAAAAGTTGTAATATAATACTAGCGATTAGTTAAAACTATGTATTATTTCTATAATACCTTGTTGTTTAATGGCATTTACTCGTAAAGGAGAACTTTGATTCCTATAGATGGCGCTCTCTGCGTTACCTTTCCGTCTACAAGCAGAGCAGTGTTGAAAACGAATAAATAGAAAAATGCGGATTTTTATAGTATGTTCCTCTTAATTTTTTCATTGTGGGTCAAAATCAAAGTTGTTTAAAAATAGTATTTTTCTTTTTTTCTCCTTACAAGTTGTTACCCAAGAAACATTACCTTTATTACCATAACTCACCAGTTTGGGCTGTACGATGAGACACTATTTTCGGTAGTTATGTAGGCCTATTTGTTTCGACATTTAGATCGTAATTATTTACGTTTCCTAGTCTTTTGTCTATCATCGTCCAGCTCAACTAATGATTTCTGATATTAAACGAAAGGCTTCTTGGGCAACGAATTGTGGGGGACAAAAGATAGATCTGAAATGCTAGTTTTACACACCTGATTATGAGCTGTAATGAATAAATTAGGAGGAATTTGGAAATCAATACTTGATTTATGAAGAGAAACAGCCAGTACCCATTGATATATGATCTGTTAATATATTTGTATAGCCGTATAGATTTACTGTAGGATATGGTAATACATTTTTATAGTCGTCTAGATTTACTGTAGGATCGGTTAATATTAGGGATGCACGGGTACCCGTAATACTTGTCTCCGGCCGAGTGTCGAAGTTAGGCATCTAAGCCCTAATCTTTGCGGCAACTAACGCGGTACTGAAAGTTACAGTCAATAATTGGTTTAGTTATAAAAAAGATGTGCTCCAAGCAACAAAAACTGACCGCCCGCTGAAAGTCGGGGATTCGGAGAACAATAGGGGTTAATAACAGGCATGGCTTGAGAATTGGATTTCTGGGGAAGGTGGGGGTCTTGAGAACAATATGGGTTAGGGTTTGAGAAGTTGGGGCTAGGCACTTAAAGTTGAAGGTAAAACTTGAATGTTCTGTTGGTGATTATTCAGTTAAATGTAATAAACGTCAATTTTGTTTTTGTTTCTAATTTTTGTGTATGTTGTTGTTGTTTTGGGGGGGGGGAGAAGGCAAGGGGAGAACCGTTAATACATCTATATGGTCGTCTAGATTTAATGTAGGATCTGCAAATGGACTTTGGCAGCTTCTCGGTTTAACAGTGTACACCTTCTGCTAATGTATTTGAGTAGCTAATTTTCGGAATTCTTATTACAATTCTATATGAAAAAATTAAGTTACGAAATTATTTATTTACAGCAAACAATTGTTTATCTTAACGATGTTTCTATTATATTCATATTTACCAGGACAGCTTCGAAATGAAACATAAACTAAACATCACGAAACACGATATTCGTTTTAGGTGTTTGCTAAACACCATGAAACAAGTCGTTTGTTTTAGAATATCTAAAAATTTAGGCTGTGTAATTAGCAATAGTCAAAAAAAGCAAAAGGTTGCTACAGATATATTTATAAACTTGTAAAAAAAATGAAACTTCTTGTCCTTCAATATTTTTTCACACATATTAACCACTTTGCCCTTCAATATTCCCTCACCTAGAATAAACATTACAGACATAATTTTCACTTTAGACTTTTTTTTTCACTTGTAATTTTTCCCTATTTACTTAACGTATCAATGTTTATTTTGTTTTCATTGTTACTAGAAGAGGGCGCTGCTAGAATGGTAACTGATTTATAAGACATGGTCTATAAAAATACATTAAACAAACCAAAGTAACTACAGCGTAATAAAACCTTTAAAAAAAAAAGGTTAAACTATCTGTAAGGGGTAGGAAGCTATGTACTCTTGGTGAAGGTCCTTTATCCGGAACATTGACCATGTAATTCTTAATCTCTTGCAGAAATATTCACCATTTATTAGATTTATCAGATTATATCGATACACTTGAGATATTTGGCCTTATGTCTGCTGCATCACAAAATAAATACAAGAGGCAACTTGATTCAAGTTTAGGCTTAGCTAATTCGTTTTAACGCTTAGATAAACAGTTCACGGAGTATAGCTTAAGACAGGAAGAAGGGATTTAAAAATGATGGGTAATAATTAAAAGATCGGAAGCCCAAATCCAGATTGTTTTGGGGGCAAAACTAATAATCGGTTAATGTCAAAACCCCTGGAAGGGTCGGTCTAATGACGTGGTGTGTGTTAACGGTTTAAATTCATTCTTGGACGAGTGTGCGGATGCAAAAAAAAAAAAACGTCACATAAACACTGGGTACGTTGGTGATGTTACTGTTTGCTCGGATAGAGGGAGACGTGCCTTTGGCCGCCTCGCTTGTTGAAAAGTTCTTTAAGGGAACGATTATTTGATGAGTCAAGGACTAAGTAGTTAACTTTGAGTCACATGCTATCAGGGGCCACGATGAATTACGGTGTATATACACTTTATATGAAGTGCGATGGTAAATGTATTGATTGTCCATAATATGATTTTCATGACTCATCAATTATCTCTAAAATTAACTGTATAAGCTTACCACTGAAACTGTTGGGTGAAGTCAGTGCTAAATACAGGGTGAGGGTACTGGCCTGGACCCGGTATGGGGTACATGGGCGTTCGGGGAATGCCTGCACAAAATAACAGTAACATGTTATAAACAACATCGAATAACAATTGTGATAAATATATTCAACATTAGAGCATATTTTGAATAACTAATATCATAATGTTTACATCTTGGCAATAGTAAGAACAAAAATCAACGTTATCTACTGGACCACGAGAACGGAGTATTTGATAGACTTCTATAGAAGGTCAGAATACGGACAATGATGACGTTGAGAACAGGAAATACTAACACCTAGATAAAGCTAGAATACACATGTTGGTAGCAAGAAATACTAACACCTAGACAAAGCCAGAATACACACGTTGGTAACAAAAAATACTAACACCTAGACAAAGCCAGAATACACACGTTGGTAACAAAAAATACTAACACCTAGACAAAGCTGGAATACACATGTTGGTAGCAAGAAATACTAACACCTGGACAAAGCTGGAATACACATGTTGGTAGCAAGAAATACTAACACCTAGACAAAGCTGGAATACACATGTTGGTAGCAAGAAATACTAACACCCGGACAAAGCTGGAATACACATGTTGGTAACAAGAAATACTAACACCTAGACAAAGCCAGAATACACACATTGGTAACAAAAAATACTAACACCTAGACAAAGCCAGAATATACACGTAGGTAATAAGAAATACTAAAACTTAGATAACACCTACACAAAGCCAGAATACACACGTAGGTAACAAGAAATACTAAAACCTAGATAACACCTAGTCAAAGCCAGAATACACACGTGGTAACAAGAAATACTAACACCTAGAGAAAGCCAGAATACACATCTTGGTAACAAGAAATACTAACACCTAGAGAAAGCCAGAATACACATCTTGGTAACAAGAAATACTAACACCTAGAGAACACCAAGAGAAAGCCAGAATATATACGTTGATAACAAGAAATACTAACACCTAGACAAAGCCAGAATACACACATTGATGACAAGTAATACTAACACCTAGACAAAGCCAGAATACACATGTTGATAACAAGAAATACTAACACCTAAACAAAGCCAGAATACACACGATGGTAACAAGGAATACTACTCTGTGTGATATAAGAATTTTAACACATTAGTTTAGGTTTAAGAGAAAATTCAAGAAACTTTTATTTTCTAAAGATTTTTAAGAGAAATGTTGTATAATAAAATATGTTTTCATTTATACTGTGAAACAATAGAAACAGGCCATTTATAGATTAAACAGACAGTAACATGAAGCAATAATAACAAGCCATTTATAGATTAATCAGGCAGTAACATAACATGAAAACAATAAAGATAAGTCATTTATAGATTAAACAGACAGTACAATAATGTGAAACAATTAAAAACAGACCATCCATACGTTAAACAGATAGTAACATATCATGACACAGTAACACAATGTTTTTGTACAAAGAACTTTATCATCAAAACATAATGGCAGTATTTCAATAGTACTACATACAAAATACTTCAAGTATTCATTGTTCTCAGTAAATACAACTCAAGGAGGTTCTATTGGTAATTTATTAAAATGTCACTGTTTGGAATCTTAAGTAATCTACGAACATTCTTAGAATTAAGTAAAGTTGTTAAAATACCTGTCTTAGGATTTAAATGGACAGGTGGTATACCCATATGAGCTGGGGGTGGCTGTGTAAAAGCCTCACTGTTGTACATCATAAATGGGAGGGGTGATGCTGGATGAGGAGAAGGAACCATTGGGACCTTGCCAGCCTAGATAAACATATATATATACATACGTATATTTTCCATTAAAATCAAGGGTTTTATCTTGCTAACCTTATTTTAGTAACTAGTAAAAAAATTTACATGTTAAATTTAGATGTTAAACTAAGTGATGATAAACAGTTGTCAGCAAAATAAAGTAATCTATAATGGTAGTTTCTACAAAAAATATCTTAATAACACTTAACATGTTTATGAAAATGTGACAAAAAAAATAAGTTAGTTTGATTTATGCTTATGGTGCAACTTAATATATCATTATTATTATTAAACCTACAAATTTAAAGTTTTTAGATAAACTATGAATTATCTTTGCCACTCTCAAAATTTGTAAATCTTAGCACTAGCTAAAACTTTTACAACATTTACTGTTTTCATTCATCCAAATCATATTCAATTGCTTCCAAGAAACGTTTGTGCTCACTTAAAACTTAACTACCACAGGTTAGTTACAGTTGTCAGTTAGTCCATTTGTAGTCGTGGAATTTTTCAGTTCAAAAATCTAAAAAAAAAGGTGATATTTAAGTGTTTTTTTCTTATGTATAATCAGTTTTTTTTTAGAAGAAAACAAAAGAAGCATGGTGAAGTACGAATAAACTAGTAAATTAACAGAATTTTTCAAATTAACTTTCAAGAGTGGTATTATAACCTGATTTATTTCTAATTTAATAATAATCTCTCTCCTATACAACAAGGGTTCATCTTGTTTTGACATTATCATTTCACACTTCTGTGATTATATTTGTTGAATCTCCTAACAAAGATGTTGCATGTCTACATATTTAAGGTTTTTAATTTTCTCAGGAAAATACTGCATATATATATATATGTAGAAACACACATGTATGTGTAGCTTGTCAGTAGAAGAACCCTTCTATACACTAAATTAATCTTCACATTACTATCATCAACTGGAATAGAAATATCCATCCAATGTCACACCTGACACCCCAGAACATAACGCTTCTTTTTTTGTGAATTAACACAATCAATGACTTAGTCCGAGTGCCGCTTGAAGAGGTTATCCGAAATACATCTAATAGCTGCTTGTTACTAATGTTTTTTTTCTCCCCTTATTTCTCTACTTTTATCTGTTAGCACATGGCAGAAGGAAATTCACAGAAAATGTTATTTGCCCACCACATCTCTAATGGCAAAGCAGTTCAATTGAGACTCCCAGCAAAGGTTCCTTTGATCTCGCCGGTAACCACTCCTGCAACACGGAAACCTTACCTAATACATCAGTTGTCAATTCCCACCAGCAAGGGACGACAGTTTAAATTAGATGTTTCATTATGCAATGTTAATTAGCATCTCGCAGTGGCAGACTTCCTGGAGAGTCACATGATACCCTTAAAAGGTGCAGCGGGTTTACAGCTCCAAATGGTATTATCGACAATCACAAAAAGCACTAGATGCAACTGTAAGCCAGCCAGAGATGGGAGATTACCAATCCCAAAGAGAGAGAGAGATGTTTTCAAGGCACACGTGGCTCCATCAGCTTAACTGGTGTATTTGATTCCTCATGGAACAAAAGCAGAAGTAGGCAGATGTGAGACAGCCTGAAGAATCCCAACCTTTTCTCTGGTCATTTTAGCACTCCTGTTCTATTGTAGAGAAAACATGAAAATTGGCCTAGAACTCCTCTCTGTTTTCCACTGCATTAGGTAAATTAAAAGGAGGCTTACTCTTGCCCCCTCTACAGTACAAAAGCTTCATTGATTTGAAATGGAATGGGAAAAAACTCCCAACACAAAAACTACTCCACTAAAGTAGTTACTGACCTACATTAAATGTTCACCTTTATTTTTTTATTTTTTTTACCCTTCACTCTTACTGTGTGGTAGCTTTACAATTGAACACACATGAACACCACTGTGTGTTAAAGGAAATTTTATTGGTCATTTTAAATATATAATAGTTCTGCTATTGGCAAAAACTATACTTGTGTACAAATGAAGAGTGAACATTGGTGTTCTCACTGTCTTTATAAAACTTTCTATACTGTACATCACTTATAAAACCCCTGAAATGTAGCACTGTCTTTATAAAAATTTCTATACTGTAACTC